GCTGGTTCGAAATCCCCCAGCCAACTAGGTGAAAAATCTGTCTGTGCCCTTGAGCAAGGCACTTAACCCTAATTGCTCCTGTAAGTCGCTCTGGATAAGAGTGTCTTCTAAATGGCGTAAATGTATGGGTTCTATTAATTCTTATTCTATGGGTTGTTAGTTGTAGTGGGTTCAGACCTGGGTTCAAATACTATTTGGAATCATTTCAAATACTTGCGGAGGAGAGGAAAGAGGTGGCATTCGATAGAAAGAAGGTGGAGGAGGACAGGAGGGAGATTGAGACGAAGGAGGTGCAGGAGGAGAGGAGGAAGAACTGTGGGAAGAAAATATATGATTATAAGGGGAGAGAGGGATTTGATCGTTCTGAAAAGCGAGTGACTGATAGAAGAAAGGATGGGGTCAGGGAGGAGAATGTTCAGACCTGGGTGGAGGAGGTGAAGGGAGAGGAGGTGAAGGTGAGAGCGCAGCTAGCGAAGGAGATGACAGAGGGAAGGATAATGAAGAAGGAGAAGGAGAGGCTGAAGAAGGAGAGAGGAGGTGTAAAGAAACGGAGGATGAAAATGAATCTGCTGAGGCAGGAGTCCATATTGAGGAGATGGAGAGAGGAGGATGCTCTTGCAAATCAAGCCAAACTCCTGGACATAAAGAGAGGATGGATAGAGGTGATCAAAGACAAGGAGTGGATGAGGGAGGAGTTGGAGAGGAGGAAGGAGGAGCAAGAGGCATTGGTGAAAGAAAGACAGACTGGTGAGTAGGATGGTAGAGAATGAAAGAGAAATGAAACTGTACAGTGACAGTTGATACGTAGCATTAAGGTCAGGAGTAGAACATTTTATAGCCCTAACACATAATCAATAAACTCTAACTCACCTTTGACCCTAGGATTAACCTTAACCCCCCTATGTCCTGTTTTTATTTTGTTGCAGCTCTCGATGGGTCGTTCTAACCCCTTCCTCTTCACCCTTAGGCCCCCAAGGGGAACCTACCTCCAGCAGGTGTCAAACCAACAGCCACCTACCTCTCCTCTTCTCTCCTCACCTCTCCAAAAATAAACATTTATATTTACATTAGAAATGTTGTTTGTGATTACTTTTGAAATAAATAGGTGGTCTAGATAGATCTACTGTATATTCTAGTTAGATGTCTACTAAGTTGGTCTAGAGCTACAATATACAGTAGATGTATAGTTGGTCTAGATGCTAGAACTTGAGAAAGCAAGCTAACAAGCTTGTGTGTGCAGAGCGGCGGCAGAATTAAAAACACATATTAACTTTTTGTAAATGTAAAAAGGGGGGTCTATTTCAGGAAACATACTGAATAAATACTAAAAGAGCACATTTTCCATAACCTGTAGGTAGGACTGGTCTAAACGGATAGTTCAGAGCTTCTGCACTTTTCTATAACATTTTTAGTCATTTAGCAGACACTCTTATCCAGAGCGACATACAGTTAGTGAGTGCATACATATTTTTTCATACTGGTCCCCCGTGGGAATCGAACCCACAACGCTGGCGTTGCAAGCGCCATGCTCTACCAACTGAGCTACACGGGACTATAACCTATAGGAAACACAATATATGGTGTATACTTGACATGTAGGTTTCTCGCTTACAGTGGCTTGTGAAAGTATTCACCCCCTTGGCATTTTTCCTATTTTGTTGCCTTACAACCTGGAATTAAAATTGATTTTTTGGGGGTTTGTATAATTTCATTTATACAACATGCCTACCACTTTGAAGATGCAAAATATGTTTTATTGTGAAACAAACAAGAAATAAGACCAAAAAAAAACAGAACTTGAGCGTGCATAACTATTCACCCCCCCAAAGTCAATACTTTGTAGAGCCACCTTTTGCAGCAATTACAGCTGCAAGTCTCTTGGGGTATGTCTCTATAAGCTTGGCACATCTAGCCACTGGGATTTTTGCCCATTCTTCAAGGCAAAACTGCTCCAGCTCCTTCAAGTTGGATGGCTTCCGCTGGTGTACAGCAATCTTTAAGTCAGGTAGCTTAGTGGTTAAGAGCGTTGTGCCAGTAACTGAAAGGTCGCTGGTTCTAATCCCCGAGCTGACTAGGTGAAAAATCTGTTGATGTGCCCTTGAGCAAGGCACTTAGCCCTAATTGCTCCTGTAAGTCACTCTGGATAAGAGCGTCTGCTAAATGACTACAACATTTGGGCTTTGACTAGGCCATTCCAAGACATTTAAATGTTTCCCCTTAAACCACTTGAGTGTATGCTTAGGGTCATTGTCCTGCTGGAAGGTGAACCTCCGTCACAGTCTCAAATTTCTGGAAGACTGAAACAGGTTTCCCTCAAGAATTTCCCTGTATTTAGCGCCATCCATCATTCCTTCAATTCTGACCAGTTTCCCAGTCCCTGCCGATGAAAAACATCCCCACAGCATGATGGGGATGGTGTTCTCGGGGTGATGAGAGGTGTTGGGTTTGTGCTAGACATAGCGTTTTCCTTGATGGCCAAAAAGCTCAATTTTAGTCTCATCTGACCAGAGTACCTTCTTCCATATGTTTGGGGAGTCTCCCACTTGCCTTTTGGCGAACACCAAACGTGTTTGCTTATTTTTTTCTTTAAGCAATGGCTTTTTTTCTGGCCACTATTCTGTAAAGCCCAGCTCTGTGGAGTGTACGGCTTAAAGTGGTCCTATGGACAGATACTCCAATCTCCGCTTTGGAGCTTTGCAGCTCCTTCAGGGTTATCTTTGGTCTCTTTGTTGCCTCTCTGATTAATGCCCTCCTTGCTTGGTCCGTGAGTTTTGGTGGGCGGCCCTCTCTTGGCAGGTTTGTTGTGGTGCCATATTCTTTCCATTTTTAATAATGGATTTAATGGTGCTCCGTGGGATGTTCAAAGTTTCTGATATTGTTTTATAACCCAACTGTGATCTGTACTTCTCCACAACTTTGTCCCTGACCTGTTTGGAGAGCTCCTTGCTCTTCATAGTGCCGCTTGCTTGCTGGTGCCCCTTGCTTAGTGGTGTTGCAGACTCTGGGGCCTTTCAGAACAGGTGTATATATATATATATATATATACTGAGATCATGTGACAGGTGGACTTTATTTAACTAATAATGTGACTTATGAAGGTAAATGTTGCACCAGATCTTATTTAGGGGCTTCATAGCAAAGGGGGTGAATACATATGCACGCACCACTTTTCCGTTATTAATTGTTTTGAATTTTTTGATACAAATTATTTTTTTCATTTCACTTCACCAATTTGGACTATTTTGTGTATTGCCATTACTTGAAATCCAAATAAAAATCAATTTAAATTACAGGTTGTAATGCAACAAAATAGGAAAAACGCCAAGGGGGATGAATACTTTATGGGCTTTTAAGGCACTGTATGGGTGGCACAAATTGCGAAATGGGGGAGGGGAATTGGCAGGTATATGCACATTTTAATAGTGTAGTATTTACTACAGTTAAAAAGTGTAGTGTTTTTGCGGACATTACTGTAGTATTTACTACAGTGTATATTTTTGCAGATAATACTGTAGTATTTACTATAGTATTCTACAGTATACTACAGTTTACTATATAATTATATAGTAAGTACTGTAGTATTCTATAGTCAACTGCATTATTCTATAGTAAACTGTAGTATTTTATAATAAACTGTAGTATTATATAGTAAACTGTAGTTTTCTATAGTAAACTGTAGTTTTCTATAGTAAACTGTAGTATTATATATTAAACTGTAGTATTTTTTAATGTGAGGAAAAAGTAGGTGCAGACACTTATGGCTCCTATGATACTTGTGGGTAGAGGTAGAGGTCTTTCATACATAACAGTGTGTGTGTGTGTGTGTTAGCCAGCCTGAGCCTGGCCCCTTAGCATGCCATGTGTCAAGTGAAAAGTCATCTGAGGGCCGGAAACAGCTGTTCTAATTTGGGTAATTTGAGAGTAGTTCATTAGCAAACATGTCTTGGGTTTTCCTCGGACAATAGAGAAGGCAGTGAGGCACTCCACCAGTCACTCTCCCCACCCCAGCACCCCATCCCCACCCTCCCCACCGCAGCCCATGAGTAAATAATACACACCCCATTACTCAGAGGTTTCAGGTTTTACTGTATCAAGGGTTTACAGAGGGAGTGGAGTTTAGCTATTTGAGATTAGGCTACATTTAGCTGGTGCTGTGTACTGGTACTCTTTACTGTCTATATCAATCTAATCTCACAGTAGAAAGCAGACCGTGTTTCATTTGAGTGGCACGTCTTCCAACTGTCCATGTGGAAAGAACAGTTACGGCTGTTTTCCAGCTGTCTGTCAAACCGGTCTCCGCCCCTTTAATCATACCATTGGTTAATTTGCACATGGGGTGTTTAGTCATTGGTCTGTTTTTTGTCAACACAAAGCATTCCCCACTTCTCCCTTGCCCTGTCTGTGTGTTGTTGAACTGGGTGAGGTTCTACTTGCGAACGAAGGGGAGAAGTAAATAATTTAAATGTCTCAAATATATTTATTGCTAGCCAACTAGCTAGCTCGCTTCCTAGGACGGAAGTTAAGCTAGCGAGACAACACGAGACCCCCTAGCTACTCAAGCGGCGGCTGGTGCGGAAATGGGTAGTATGAGTTTGAGGTTTGACATTAGCTAGCTATCGTTGGTCATTCATTCAGCCGCTAGCGGTGGGATGATTTTCTTTTGTGTTAGCTATAGCTTGTTAGCTACTCGGTTTGCTATGGCTAGCTAACTTCTGCATTTGACAGCAGTGACCGTTCGAGCTACATCATGCGAATCCGCAAGGATACGATCGTCTCCTGTTTTCTAGCTATCAAGACAAAGAAGATGCTCGCTTGTCCAAGGGAAGTACCTACATTTGATTTAAAACCATAGTTGGCATTAGGGAATAGGGCAGACACTGATCTTGAGAATTGGCTACTGTAGCCGTCATTGGCTATCTATCCTCGGCGAAACCGGTTTGGTAGCTAACTAGCTGGCTAAAGTGATTGCTAGCATAGCTACATTTGGATGCATACGGAAAATGGCATCAACAAAGGCAAAGGTTGGGATAATAAATGAGAGCAACTCTATTTGCGAGAGTGCCAAGACCTGCGCAAACAGTCCCATGTTATTGGCCGGAGCAGCATCGTTAACATTGAACAACAGGACATACTCACTCGATGACCTGGACACCATTGCCACAGTTGGTAAGTTTAGGCAGCAAGCCAGTATGTTACAGTACACACACTGGTGAAACTGGTCTGTCTATCGCAGGGCTTGTCACACTATCCTGCCTATCAACTAGGCTATATAGGGCATAGGCTACTACTACTGGTACATGTGTGGCTCGTGCACAACAGCACAAGCAATGAAAGCCAAGGCGACTATGTGATCAGCCATTCCATGGACTATGAGATCATGACATGACCATGAGACATGGTGATTTGCTGAACATGAAACATAATTCAACTCTTGAGTCAGAAGATAGCTGTCATGACTCTGTTCGGTCTGCTACTTAATCTGTCTGCTGGAAGTGGACAAGGACATTCTCAGTTTGTCAAGCCCACCCATAGGTTTATGGCCCACTCTGTGCCCAATCATTGAGAAATTCATCATCCCACACAGTTGCTGGGATTGTCAAAATGTTCTTGACATGGCATTAGGGGAAATATCTGTATCCATCTCAGGGATCAGGCTGGATAAATGGTTGCATTGCATACATGAAATAACCAGCTTGAGAAGTGAAAGCTTAATGGAGAAAATCTTACTTTCCTCATCAGGCTTTTGCTACATTGAATCCCTAGTTTAGAGAGGATGAGTATATATTATTTGTGAGAAGGAAATAGCTATATTAGTAAGATGTTCCTATTGCCCTGTGAAATTCAAAGGAATGTCAAAGTTCATGTTTGGTTCTGCTCACTCTTGTATGTGCATGTAAGTCCTTTCACTGCATTGTTAATGTGTCAGCAGACTCAGCTGTTGAACAGTGTTTTTTTCACATGGCAGGATGGGTGGAGTCCACTCTGTGGTGAGTCTAATGCCAGAAAGCAAGAATGTTAAAACAACATGCACTACTTCAACACTGAACACACGCTACTGATAACGAAAACCACTTAATCTTTTACAGCGCTCTCATATTTGATTAATGACAAGGAAGACACTTAGCTAATAGAGAATTCCCTTCTCATTCTAAGCCCACGCGATCGGGGAAAGCATGAAGCTTAAGATAAAATCATCCAATTTGCAAAGCCTTTTGTTAGATGATGAGGGGGATTTACTTATTATGACAAATCAGTTAAATGTCTTGAGGACTGCTTTTGTCTAATGGTCATTGAAATAATGAGGCACCTTGCTCTCACGTGACATTTAAAGCTTAGTCATTACAGACATTTTGCCCATCTTTCATGCATAGGAAAAGTGTTCTGGTGATGAGGCAAAGATGGTGGGGCATAAGACTACATCAAGGTACGTGGCCACTGGCCAAGTGCTTTGAGTAGCATCAACAAGCTCTTATCATTCCACGTCTGGCATTGTTCCATCAAATATTTAGTGTTAGTTAAATCAAACAAAAACACGGGCCTATCTAATTCAGCTCCCACAAAATTAGAACAAGAAACATTCTGTATTCTATCCAGCAAACCAAGAATCGGACAAAATTACACTCCTTAGCTGTGAAAATAAGTGTAGCTGTGAAAATAAGTGTCGCTGCTTCTCACTCTAATTGATTCAATTCACGTGTGGAGAATACATTGTTCAGTTATTTTCCCCTTCACTTTTCCAAGTTAGCTAGATCTCTGGTTTGTTTCCATGACAATACCTCACGTTGGTGTTGAGAGAAATGTCCATTTTGTGCCATTTATTATCATATAGCCTAACTGTTAGAATTTCTTTTGGAAACACTATTCAGTATTCAGTAGGGCTGCACTGAGGCTAGGAAACACTATCACCACCGATAAATCTACAATAATCGAGAATTTCAACAAGCATTTTGCTATGGCTGGCCATGCTTTCCACCTGGCTACCACTACCTCGGCCACCAACTCTGCACCCTCCGCTGCAACTTGCCCATGCCCCCCCCGCTTCTCCTTCACACAAATTCAGACTGCTGATGTTCTGAAAGAGCTGCAAAATCTGGACCCCTACAAATCAGCTGGGCTAGACAATCTGGACCCTTTCTTTCAAAAACTAGCCGCCGAAATTGTCGCAACCCCTATTACTAGCCTGTTCAACCTCTCTTTCGTAACGTCTGAGATCCCCAGAGATTGGAAAGCTGCCGCGGTCATCCCCCTCTTCAAAGGGGGTGACACTCTAGATCCAAACTGTTACAGACCTATATCCATCCTGCCCTGCCTTTCGAAAGTATTTGAAAGCCAAGTTAACAAACAGATCACCGACCATTTCGAATCCCACCGTACCTTCTCCACTATGCAATCCAGTTTCCGAGCTGGTCATGGGTGCACTTCAGCCACGCTCAAGGTCCTAAACGATATTATAACCGCGATCGATAATAGACAGTACTGTGCAGCCGTCTTCATCGACCTGGCCAAGGCTTTCGACTCTGTCAACCACCGCATTCTTATTGGCAGACTAATTAGCCTTGGTTTCTCAAATGACTGCCTCGCCTGGTTCACCAACTACTTCTCAGATAGAGTTCAATGTGTCAAATCGGAGGGCCTGTTGTCTGGACCTATGGCAGTCTCTATGGGGATGCCACAGGGTTCAATTCTTGGGCCGACTCTTTTCTCTGTGTATATCAATGATGTCGCTCTTGCTGCTGGTGACTCTCAGATCCACCTCTACGCAGACGACACCATTTTGTATACATCTGGCCCTTCATTGGACACTGTGTTAACAAACCTCCAAACGAGCTTCAATGCCATACAACACTCCTTCAGTAGCCTCCAACTGCTCTTAAACACTAGTAAAACTAAATACATGCTCTTCAATCGAACGCTGCTGGCACCCGCCCACCCGACTAGAATCACCACTCTCGACGGGTCTGACCTAGAGTATGTGGACAACTACAAATACCTAGGTGTCTGGTTAGACTGTAAACTCTCCTTCCAGACTCACATTAAGAATCTCCAATCCAAAGTTAAATCTAGAATCGGCTTCCTATTTCGCAACAAAGCCTCCTTCACTCATGCTGCCAAACATGCCCTCGTAAAACTGACTATCCTACCGATCCTTGACTTCGGCGATGTAATTTACAAAATAGCCTCCAACACTCTACTCAGCAAATTGGATGTAGTCTATCACAGTGCCATCCGTTTTGTCTCCAAAGCCCAATACACTACCCACCACTGTGACCTGTACGCTCTTGTTGGCTGGTCCTCACTGCATGTTCGTCGTCAAACCCACTGGCTCCAGGCCATCTATAAATCACTGCTAGGCAAATCCCCGCCTTATCTTAGCTCATTGGTCACCATAGTAGCACCCACCCGTAGTCTGCGCTCCAGCAGGTATATCTCACTGGTCATTCCCAAAGCCAACACCTCCTTTGGCCGCCATTCCTTCCAGTTCTCTGCTGCCAATGACTGGAACGAATTGCAAAAATCTCTGAAGCTGGAGACTCTTATCTCCCTCAATAACTTTAAGCATCAGTTGTCAGAGCACCTTACCGATCACTGCACCTGTACACAGCCCATCTGAAATTAGCCCACCCAACTACCTCATCCCTATATTGTTATTTATTTTGCTCTTTTGCACCCCAGTATCTCTATTTGCACATAATCTCTTGCACATCTAGCATTCCAGTGTTAATACTAATTGTAATTATTTTGCACTATAGCCTATTTATTGCCTTACCTCCATAACTTGCTACATTTACACACACTGTATATATATTTTCTGTTGTATTTTTTGACTTTATGTTTTTTTTACCCCATATGTAAGTCTGTGTTGTTGTTTTTATTGCACTGCTTTGCTTTATCTTGGCCAGGTCGCAGTTGTAAATGAGAACTTGTTCTCAACTGGCTTACCTGGTTAAATAAAGGTGAATTTTTTTTTGCGATGTATGCATCCACAATAGTCACATCGCAGAATGTGCGATTTAGTAAGGTAAACATATATCAGTCTACAATATATATATTTTTTAAATGTTAAACTAGCATTATATCTGTCTGATATAACATAATTTACTCAGATTTATGGGTTATTGGATACACAGTTTATTATTATTATATTATTATTTTAAACACGGAGTTCGTTGCTGCACGTGGTTGACATGCAGGCTCTGCTTGTGCGTGACGAAATGATGGGCGAGGAACAGGCAAAAAAGACCGAAATTGAGAATTTGGTTGCAAAAAGAAATGCATCGTCAATTATATGGAAATATTTAGGCTACAGACAGGATGATGTTGACCAAAAACAGGTACTTTGTCGAGAGTGCCTTGCAATTGTTGCCACAACACGAGGCAACACGACCAATTTGTTAGATCATTTTAAGGCGGCACCACAAATCTTTGTATGATGAGTGCAAAGCACTCTATTTCGGATGCCTTTGCCAGTATTACACCATACGAGAAAGGTTCCAAATGGCAGAGAGAAATCACAGATTCAATAACATTTCACGTCGCCAAAGACATGGTACCAATTAACACGGTTACCAAAGAGGGTTTTAAAAACATGATCCGGTCGCTTGACAAGCGGTATGTAATGCCATCACGCAACTATTTTTCTCAAGTTGCCATCCCAGAGTTGTACGAGAAATGCAAGGCACAAGTTGAAACAGAACTGTCACAAGTGGAATATTATACAGCAACAACGGACTTGTGGTCCAGCCGGACAACGGAGCCCTACATAAGTCTGACCGTACACTTTATTAATGAGGACTTCCACCTGAAAAGTCGCTGTTTGCAAACTGCATTTTCCCCAGAGGATCATACATACATCCTGTATTTTTTCATATCGCAATATATATTGCAGAAAAACAAAATATCGCAATGTCAGTTATTTCCAATATTGTGCAACCCTAGTATTCAGTACACCATGCAAGTATTCAGTGCAGTATTTGGTGCATATCCCTTTGCCTCAGGCATTGCTGTATTGGAGAGAAAAGGACATACCAGGCTTGACCCATTTGCAGGGGAAAACCTATGTCACATGGCCAAATGAAATCCCTAGACATTTCTGGTGGTAATCACTCAATATGATGAAAAGAGAGTATTTACACGCACACATCTAAAAATGGCACAGGAGCTACAAAATCAGCGGAAGAAAAAATGTACGTTTGCTGCTTCCACAAGAAGATTAGGCTACTTGAGGGAGCAACAAACAGTGATCGGAAAAGGACATTACCTTATGTCTTTACTGTGCAGACTGGTACTTGGCCTAATCTCTCTATTCTGCTTGCTTCTGCAGCAAGGGTTCCTTCAGAATACAAACAAAATATTGATTGAGCTGTTGGCTAAAGACTACGCGCGTGTCATTATTAGTTCACTTATATTGACCAAGGTGCTCACTATGTTTGCCAAAAGATTTTATCTTGCTGTTTTTAGTGCTTTAGTAGTGTAGGCCTAAAGCCTGCTTGTTGGGAATCTCTAGGAAAGCAGTACTAGGCCCACAAGGAGAGGACAAACATCCATAGCATATCCATCTGATTGTGCTGAGTTTACAAGAACATATCTACTTTGAGGCGAAATATTACACCAGCAATGTTTTCAGGTACAGTGAGGGAAAAAAGTATTTGATCCCCTGCTGATTTTGTACGTTTGCCCACTGACAAAGAAATGATCAGTCTATAATTTTAATGGTAGGTTTATTTGAACAGTGAGAGACAGAATAACAACAACAAAAATCCAGAAAAACGCATGTCAAAAATGTTATAAATTTGATTTGCATTTTAATGAGGGAAATAAGTATTTGACCCTCTCTCAATCAGAAAGATTTCTGGCTCCCAGGTGTCTTTTATACAGGTAACGAGCTGAGATTAGGAGCACACTCTTAAAGGGAGTGCTCCTAATCTCAGCTTGTTACCTGTATAAAAGACACCTGTCCACAGAAGCAATCAATCAATCAGATTCCAAACTCTCCACCATGGCCAAGACCAAAGAGCTCTCCAAGGATGTCAGGGACAAGATTGTAGACCTACACAAGGCTGGAATGGGCTACAAGACCATCGCCAAGCAGTTTGGTGAGAAGGTGACAACAGTTGGTGCGATTATTCGCAAATGGAAGAAACACAAAATAACTGTCAATCTCCCTCGGCCTGGGGCTCCATGCAAGATCTGACCTTGTGGAGTTGCAATGATCATGAGAACGGTGAGGAATCAGCCCAAAACTACACGGGAGGACCTTGTCAATGATCTCAAGGCAGCTGGGACCATAGTCACCAAGAAAACAATTGGTAACACACTACGCCGTGAAGGACTGAAATCCTGCAGTGCCCGCAAGGTCCCCCTGCTCAAGAAAGCACATATACAGGCCCGTCTGAAGTTTGCCAATTAACATCTGAATGATTCAGAGGAGAACTGGGTGAAAGTGTTTTGGTCAGATGAGACCAAAATCGAGCTCTTTGGCATCAACTCAACTCACCGTGTTTGGAGGAGGAGGAATGCTGCCTATGACCCCAAGAACACCATCCCCACGTCAAACATGGAGGTGGAAACATTATGCTTTGGGTGTGTTTTTCTGCTAAGGGGACAGGACAACTTCACTGCATCAAAGGGACGATGGACGGGGCCATGTACCGTCAAATCTTGGGTGAGAACAGCCAGGGCATTGAAAATGGGTCGTGGATGGGTATTCTAGCATGACAATGACCCAAAACACACGACCAAGGCAACAAAGGAGTGGCTCAAGAAGAAGCACATTAAGGTCCTGGAGTGGCCTAGCCAGTCTCCAGACCTTAATCCCATAGAAAATCTGTGGAGGGAGCTGAAGGTTCGAGTTGCCAAACATCAGGCTCGAAACCTTAATGACTTGGAGAAGATCTGCAAAGAGGAGTGGGACAAAATCCCTCCTGAGATGTGTGCAAACCTGGTGGCCAACTACAAGAAATGTCTGACCTCTGTGATTGCCAACAAGGGTTTTGCCACCAAGTACTAAGTCATGTTTTGCAGCGGGGTCAAATACTTATTTCCCTCATTAAAATGCAAATCAATTTATAACATTTTTGACATGCGATTTTCTGGATTTTTTTGTTGTTATTCTGCCTCTCACTGTTCAAATAAACCTACCATTAAAATTATAGACTGATCATGTCTTTGTCAGTGGGCAAACGTACAAAATCAGCAGGGGATCAAATACTTTTTTCCCTCACTGTATAGTAGTACAGTTGAGCTCAGAATCAAACCTGACAGTTATCTAACCTCTGTCTTATCATGTGATGACAGTGAATAAGAAGAAAAAGACAGGGTTTGGGCTTTGTTTGCTTGCCCCTATTAGATTACTATGGAGACTGAGAACAGGGAAGGACAAAGATCCCTTGTATGAGGTAAGCCCAAACGTGCTAGAAGCCAACATTCCATGACTCTATTGGGTGATTGTGAGTCAGTCACTCAGTTCTGTTTGTCTACTCCCTCTCTCCTTACAGTGAAATATGACTAGATGTAGGATGTCATTTTGTACTCCTCCTGACCTGGGGATGGGAATAGAGAAACAATCTGAATTGTTGGCCAAAATAATGAGCTCGGATTTGTAAAAGAGTGAGAAGACGACTCAATGAATATTGGACAGTTCTTCCAGGTTCAACCTCTTTAATTGATGGAAGGGTTGAAGACATGTCAGGGAGAATTGAATGTCAAAAACGCAAATATGGCATTCTGATTTCATGATCTGACTTAACCACAGATCTCTTCTTGATTATCATGGTTGATTTGCCTCAGAAATAAACTGAATGTTGCTCTACGACCTTTGGGCGTGTGAATGGTGTGTGTGTGTGTGAGAGTGTGAGAGAGAGAGAGAGAGAGAAGAACGCCTTTTCTAATGACAGTTATTCTCTCTCTCTCCTTGCCTCAGGCACAGGGACTTTTGGCAGGGTGTTCCTGGTGAAAGACAAGAAGAGCAGGGCGTTCTACGCTCTGAAGGCTATGAAGATCCCTGACGTGATCCGGCTGAAGCAGGAGCAGCACGTTCACAATGAGAAGGAAGTCCTGACCGAAGTCAACCACCCCTTCCTCATCAGACTGTGAGTGTCTGATCACCTCAACACCACATAACATAACTTAACAAAACATAGCATAACATGGCTATCGTAAGATAAAGAGAAGGAAGTCCTGACCGAAGTCAACCTCCCCAACATCATCAGACTGTGAGTGTCTGATCACCTCAACACCACCGCCATCGTCAGCCACAGATCTGTTGGAGGTGGATTTAATATATAAATAATATATGCCATTAAGCAGAAGTCTTTATCCAAAGTGACATCCCCTACAGTGAGTGTATACGTTTCTAATATATGTATGTGATTAGTGGTATTGAAACCCACCACCTTGGTGTTGCTTGCACCACGCTCTTACCGACTAAGCCACACAGGACCACTTTCCACTTGTCCTCTACAACCGCTTTGACAAGGCCCATGCCACATACTGTAAGCTGAGCAAACATTGCCCAGACTACCCTTTTTTTCCTAACTCTCTACATCCAACCACTGTTCCCCGACAAATATTTGTGTTTGAATAGAGTCACCTTGTTCAAATGTACCGTTTTGTTTATTTACTGTTTATGCCTTCCAGGTTCTGGACCCACCATGACGATCGTTTACTCTACATGCTGATGGACTACGTTCCAGGCGGGGAGCTGTTCAGTTACCTCCGTAGCCGCGGGCGCTTCAGCAACACCACGGGCCTCTTCTACTCCACAGAGATCGTGTGTGCCATCGAGTACCTCCACTCCAAAGAGATCGTCTACCGAGACCTGAAGCCGGAGAATATACTGCTGGACAGCGAGGGACACATCCGCCTCACAGACTTCGGCTTCGCTAAGAAGCTCTCGGACAGGTATGATGTAATGCCACAGAGTACGACTTCATTGTCCATCGAAACGGAATTGTGTCTTTGGACTGTGTTATTATATTTCCAACCTCCCTGAGACCACACACACCCTAGAGACTGGAAGTAGCACAGGGTCAGCCGCAGAGCAGCATCCCAGTATGAGCTGTTCGTCCCCACCGGGATCATCCCATCTGGGAGCAGGTGTACTGCACAGCTAGGACATCCTTAATTGTTAGACATTATGCCCCCTAACAAGTCATTACCAGGATATTATTAGACTACCATGTTAATTGTGGGAGTGAATGTTGTTTGTTTTTCTTTCTCATTGTAAGACTATAACACGTTTGGGAATTGTAGCCATACAGACACATTTGCCTGATTGGTACAGTAGGGTTATAGATGTCCTTCCGGAAGATGTCATATTACATTTCCATATAATATTCACAGAATGTATGGAGGGGAATCCTCGCTCTATCTAAAATGGAATCCCAAAACATGAGAGAAATGCAAAGATGCGATTAAATTGCCGTTATTTTGTTTTTATATTAGTGTTACAAGCAGCGAGACGTCTTCAGGGACCTCAGTAGAATTGGAAAGCTGCAGCACTCAGGGTTAAAACAGTTTTGTATCTGCAGTGCAGTAATGTAGTGATACTGCAGTAGCACTAGTGTTTTGCAGGGAGCCTCGCTGAACACAAACCTGACCCACTGACATGTAAACAGAATGGAGTAAGATTCCATTTTCTCTGGCCGGGAGAGTAAAACAGATTTGTACTAGATGTGGCTCTGATGTGCAACTTGTGACCCACTTAAAGAAATGGAAGGCAAAAGGAATTGCCTTGAATGCGTGGAGCATGTGAAGAACAAACGAATAGGAGAGTTGGCTGCCTTGCCACTGGTGGTGTTCCTCGTGTGTGTGTGTGTGTGTGTGTGTGTGTGTGATCAGTTTACAAGATGAAATACCACACCACACTGTTGATGCTTCCACAGTGCCACCTAGTGGCAGAATAATATTGACCCGCTTGGTTCTAGGACGTGCTCAGAGTTTACTGTTTTATTAGACCAGCTTTGCCAGGCGTAGAGCAGCACTCTGTCCAGAGAGACTACTCTGAGCCTGCGGTAGATATGCCTATGTGATAAAGAGCCATGCGACAAAAAACATGCAATTACAGTGCAAGCTGCATTTTCCTCATTGCGTCCAAATTGTCCCATTCTTGTTCACCTCAAAATATATAATAAAGATGGAAATGTACAAATGAAACCAAGGACCTTGAGCCTGCTCCTTAAACAGAGTAACCATTTGCATACAAATTAACCATCACCACGGCAACCGACCAAAAGGGTTATTTTCCAGCGGGCCAGTGTTGTTTTTTCATCAGAACATTTTAAAAATTTGATAAAAATGATCATTTTGTTGTGTCCTATTCTGCTCCCCACTTCAGATGCCCTCCCTGGCCTGAACATAGTGATCCAGGCTTCTATATATCCTCCAGCCAGTGTTAAATCAGCTGTACTATTGAACCAAAGACATTGATCTACCAATAACACAACCAGAACCAATACTTCCAGCAAACTAAAGATCCGTCGCTCTGTTGGATCCAAATACCACCCGATAGTACTGTGAGATCAGGCTACACACGCTGTATTAGTTATACCATATCAATGTACATGCTACTGTGAGATCAGCCTGCATAGACTACACTACTACTGACTGAAGGACCAGTCGACTGACAGCTGATACTACTGTGAGATCAGCCTGCATACAGGATACTACTATAAACAGCAGCTTGATTACTTTACAAGACTGGGGTTGTCTTTCCCTGTATGTAACAGGAGTCTCCTCTCTCAAGGGTAAACTCATTGGAATGTGCAGTGTGCGCGGCATTCAGGATGACCCTTGGGGAAACCTAGGCTTGGAATGATCATCAGTCAGACATTATTGGCCACACAGTCAAAATAAAAGTTGTATGTGTGTGCATGTTCCTGTGTTCTGTTGTAGTAACGTAACATCTAGAATGTAAATAGTTCAAACTAATATTGTTTCTCTTTTATGTCTCTTTCTCTTTCGGTCTCTCTCCATCGCTCCATCCAGGACATGGACTCTGTGTGGAACCCCAGAGTACCTGGCCCCAGAGGTCATCCAGAGCAAAGGTCACGGCCGGGCGGTGGACTGGTGGGCCCTGGGGATCCTCATCTTTGAGATGCTGGCTGGGTGAGTAGTAGTGTCCTGTCCTCTGACTGAATGGGAAGGATGGGTGTTGAGCTGAACACTAGTGTCATGAGTCCTGACTGGCCAGGGGTTGAACTGAATACTGTAATGTCCCCTGACAGGGCATGGCTTGAACACCAGGGGTCCCCAGTCCACCAGAGGACAGGAGGACTGTGTGTGGTATTAGCAGGGGTTGGGGTCAATTTCATATATATTCAAGAAGTAAACTAACATTCCAATTCTCCTCATTGCTTTTTAATGAAAGATATTGGAATCGGAATTCCAGTTTGCTTCCTGAATTGAAATAGAATTGACCCCATCCTTGTGTAGTAGTATGTATGGAGAGTGGCGGTCCTCTATGGACAGTGGGCTCTGTCTATGAACAATGGGTAGTATCCAGCAGAATGTCTGTGGTGAGTCAATGGAGATACAAGTGTGCTGTTATTCAGAGAGTTGAACTTATGAGGTTACGTCACTCTGTAGTGGGCTTAATTCCAAGACTAGTCTGCCTTGTGTTACTGTGATGACGGAGGTGGACGGTCTTAAGGATGAAAGACAGGTTGAAAAAAGGTCAAAGGTAACTTATTCTGACGCATTCCCACCTGTGTGTGATCTGTGGAGGCCAAGGTTTCATATGAACAAACTGTGGTGGCTTTAAGCTATGCTCTCTCGTCTCAGAATCCCACTGTCACAGAATGGGACCTGGGAATAGGGTACCATTTGGAACACAGATAGTGACGCCGGGCCATTTAGCTATGGTACAACTGCAGCCTGAAGTCTATAGAAATCCTATTTCAGCAGTGCTTCTGTAGAGTACACTAGTCTTGAATGAATGAATGAATGAATGAATGAATGACTGACTGACTGAGTGGATGTCTGCTAGCAACTCATGGGCGGCGCACAATTGGCCCAGCGTCGTCCAGTGTAGGGGAGGGAATGGCCGGCAGGGATGTAGCTCAGTTGATAGAGCATGGCGTTTGCAACGCCAGGGTTGTGGGTTCGATTCCCACGGGGGGCCAGTATAAAAAAAAAATGTATTCACTAACTGTAAGTCGCTCTGGATAAGAGCGTCTGCTAAATGACTAAAATGTCAAATGTAAATGTAAACATATAGTCTCACCATATAGCCTCACTCAAGTGGCCGGATGCTCTTCCGCTCCTCTTTTAGACGAGGGCACCAAGTTAAATGATTTGTTCTCTATAGCCCAGCCTACACATGACTACAGTGGGGGAAAAAAGTATTTAGTCAGCCACCAATTGTGCAAGTTCTCCCACTTAAAAAGATGAGAGAGGCCTGTAATTTTCATCATAGGTACACGTCAACTATGACAGACAAAAAAAATCACATTGTAGGCTTTTTAATGAATTTATTTGCAAATTATGGTGGAAAACAAGTATTTGGTCAATAACAAAAGTTTCTCAATACTTTGTTATGTACCCTTTGTTGGCAATGACACAGGTCAAACGTTTTCTGTAAGTCTTCACAAGGTTTTCACACACTGTTGCTGGTATTTTGGCCCATTCCTCCATGCAGATCTCCTCTAGAGCAGTGATGTTTTGGGGCTGTCGCTGGGCAACACAGACTTTCAACTCCCTCCAAAGATTTTCTATGGGGTTGAGATCTGGAGACTGGCTAGGCCACTCCAGGACCTTGAAATGCTTCTTACGAAGCCACTCCTTCGTTGTCCGGGCGGTGTGTTTGGGATCATTGTCATGCTGAAAGACCCAGCCACGTTTCATCTTCAATGCCCTTGCTGATGGAAGGAGGTTTTCACTCAAAATCTCACGATACATGGCCCCATTCATTCTTTCCTTTACACAGATCAGTCGTCCTGGTCCCTTTGCAGAAAAGCAGCCCCAAAGCATGATGTTTCCACCCCCATGCTTCACAGTAGGTATGGTGTTCTTTGGATGCAACTCAGCATTCTTTGTCCTCCATACACGACGAGTTGAGTTTTTACCAAAAAGTTCTATTTTGGTTTCATCTGACCATATGACATTCTCCCAATCCTCTTCTGGATCATCCAAATGCACTCTAGCAAACTTCAGATGGGCCTGGACATGTACTGGCTTAAGCAGGGGGACACGTCTGGCACTGCAGGATTTGAGTCCCTGGCGGCGTAGTGTGTTACTGATGGTAGGCTTTGTTACTTTGGTCCCAGCTCTCTGCAGGTCATTCACTAGGTCCCCCCGTGTGGTTCTGGGATTTTTGCTCACCGTTCTTGTGATCATTTTGACCCCACGGGGTGAGATCTTGCGTGGAGCCCCAGATCGAGGGAGATTATCAGTAGTCTTGTATGTCTTCCATTTCCTAATAATTGCTCCCACAGTTGATTTCTTCAAACCAAGCTGCTTACCTATTGCAGATTCAGTCTTCCCAGCCTGGTGCAGGTCTAAAATTTTGTTTCTGGTGTCCTTTGACAGCTCTTTGGTCTTGGCCATAGTGGAGTTTGGAGTGTGACTGTTTGAGGTTGTGGACAGGTGTCTTTTATACTGATAACAAGTTCAAACAGGTGCCATTAATACAGGTAACGAGTGGAGGACAGAGGAGCCTCTTAAAGAATAAGTTACAGGTCTGTGAGAGCCAGAAATCTTACATTTACATTTACATTTTAGTCATTTAGCAGACGCTCTTATCCAGAGCGACTTACAGGAGCAATTAGGGTTAAGTGCCTTGCTCAAGGGCACATTTACGTCATTTAGCAGACGCTCTTATCCAGAGCGACTCACAAATTGGTGCATTCACCCTATAGCCAGTGGGATAACCACTTTACAAATTTTTTTTTTGGGGGGGGGGGGGGGGGGGTAGAAGGATTACTTTATCCTATCCCAGGTATTCCTTAAAGAGGTGGGGTTTCAAATGTCTCCGGAAGGTGGTGAGTGACTCCGCTGTCCTGGCGTCGTGAGGGAGCTTGTTCCACCATTGGGGTGCCAGAGCAGCGAACAGTTTTGACTGGGCTGAGCGGGAACTATGCTTCCGCAGAGGAAGGGGAGCCAGCAGGCCAGAGGTGGATGAACGCAATGCCCTCGTTTGGGTGTAGGGACTGATCAGAGCCCGAAGGTACAGAGGTGCCGTTCCCCTCACTGCTCCATAGGCAAGCACCATGGTCTTGTAACGGATGCGAGCTTCAACTGGAAGCCAGTGGAGTGTACGGAGGAGGGGGGTGACGTGAGAACTTGGGAAGGTTGAACACCAGACGGGCTGCGGCGTTCTGGATGAGTTGTAGGGGTTTAATGGCACAGGCAGGGAGGCCAGCCAACAGCGAGTTGCAGTAATCCAGACGGGAGATGACAAGTGCCTGGATTAGGACCTGTGCCGCTTCCTGTGTAAGGCAGGGTCGTACTCTCCGAATGTTGTAGAGCATGAACCTGCAGGAGCGGGTCACCGCCTTGATGTTAGCGGAGAACGACAGGGTGTTGTCCAGGGTCACGCCAAGGCTCTTCGCACTCTGGGAGGAGGACACAACGGAGTTGTCAACCGTGATGGCGAGATCATGGAACGGGCAGTCCTTCCCCGGGAGGAAGAGCAGCTCCGTCTTGCCAGGGTTCAGCTTGAGGTGGTGATCCGTCATCCATACTGATATGTCTGCCAGACATGCAGAGATGCGATTCGCCACCTGGTTATCAGAAGGGGGAAAGGAGAAGATTAGTTGTGTATCGTCAGCGTAGCAATGATAGGAGAGGCCATGTGAGGATATGACAGAGCCAAGTGACTTGGTGTATAGGGAGAAAAGGAGAGGGCCTAGAACTGAGCCCTGGGGGACACCAGTGGTGAGAGCACGTGGTGCGGAGACAGCTTCTCGCCACGCCACTTGGTAGGAGCGACCGGTCAGGTAGGACGCAATCCAGGAGTGAGCCGCGCCGGAGATGCCCAGCTTGGAGAGGGTGGAGAGGAGGATCTGATGGTTCACAGTATCAAAGGCAGCAGACAGGTCTAGAAGGACAAGAGCAGAGGAGAGAGAGTTAGCTTTAGCAGTGCGGAGAGCCTCCGTGACACAGAGAAGAGCAGTCTCAGTTGAATGACCAGTCCTGAAACCTGACTGGTTTGGATCAAGAAGGTCATTCTGAGAGAGATAGCAAGAGAGTTGGCTAAAGTTTTGGAAAGAAAAGAAAGAAGGGATACTGGTCTGTAGTTGTTGACATCAGTGGGATCGAGTGTTGGTTTTTTGAGAAGGGGAGCAACTCTCGCTCTCTTGAAGACGGAAGGGACATGGCCAGCGGTCAAGGATGAGTTGATCAGCGAGGTGAGGTAGGGGAGAAGGTCACCGGAGATGGTCTGGAGAAGAGAGGAGGGGATGGGGTCAAGCGGGCAGGTTGTTGGGCGGCCTGCAGTCACAAGTCGCAGGATTTTATCGGGAGAAAGAAGTCAAAGCATAGGGTAGGGCAGTGTGAGTAGGACCAGCAGTGTCATTAGACTTAACAAACGAGGATCGGATGTCGTCAACCTTCTTTTCAAAGTGGTTGACGAAGTCATCCACAGAGAGAGGGGAGGGGGGGAGGATTCAGGAGGGAGGAAAATGTGGCAAAGAGCTTCCTAGGGTTAGAGGCAGATGCTTGGAATTTAGAGTGGTAGAAAGTGGCCTTAGCAGCAGAAACGGATGAAGAAAATGTAGAGAGGAGGGAGTGAAAAGATGCCAGGTCGGCAGGGAGTTTAGTTTTCTTCCATTTCCGCTCCGCTGCCCGGAGCTCTGTTCTGTGAGCTCGCAATGAGTCATCAAGCCACGGAGCTGGAGGGGAGGACCGAGCCGGCCGGGAGGATAGGGGACACAGAGAGTCAAAGGATGCAGAAAGGGAGGGTTGAGGAGGAAGAATCAGGAGATTGGAGGGAGAAGGATTGAGCAGAGGGAAGAGATGATAGGATGGAAGAGGAGAGAGTAGTGGGAGAGAGAGAGCGAAGGTTGCGGCGGCGCATTACCATCTGTGTAGGGGCAGAGTGAGTAGTGTTGGAGGAGAGCGAGAGAGAAAAGGAAACAAAGTAGTGGTCGGAGACATGGAGGGGAGTTGCAGTGAGATTAGTAGAAGAGCAGCATCTAGTAAAGATAAGGTCAAGTGTATTGCCTGCCTTGTGAGTAGGGGGGGACGGTGAGAGGGTGAGGTCAAAAGAGGAGAGGAGTGGAAAGAAGGAGGCAGAGAGAAATGAGTCAAATGTGGACATAGGGAGGTTGAAATCCCCCAAAACTGTGAGGGGTGAGCCATCCTCAGGAAAGGAACTTATCAAGGCGTCAAGCTCATTGATGAACTCTCCAAGGGAACCTGGAGGGCGATAGATGACAAGGATATTAAGCTTAAATGGGCTAGTGACTGTGACAGCATGGAATTCAAATGAGGAGATAGACAGGTGGGTTAGGGGAAAAATTGAGAATGTCCACTTGGGAGAGATGAGGATTCCTGTGCCACCACCCCTCTGACCAGATGCTCTCGGGGTATGCGAGAACACATGGTCAGACGAGGAGAGAGCAGTAGGAGTAGCAGTGTTTTCAGTGGTAATCCATGTTTCCGTCAGCGCCAGGAAGTCGAGGGACTGGAGGTTAGCATAGGCTGGGATGAAGTCAGCTTTGTTGGCAGCAGAACGGCAGTTCCAGAGGCTGCCTGAGACCTGGAACTCCAGGTGTGGGGTGCGTGCAGGGACCACCAGGTTAGAGAGGCAGCAGCCACGCGGTGTGAGGCGTTTGTGTAGCCTGTGCAGAGAGGAGAGAACAGGGATAGGCAGAGGCATAGTTGACAGGCTGTAGCAAATGGCTACAATAATGCAGAGGAGATCGGAATGAAATGAACTAAACATCTGGAAGAAGAGAGAGCAGGGCCTCCCTCACCAAAACTTCCACCTCAGAAACTATAATTGTTTCACTGAACCACCCGAACAAAAACTCTCCCAACTTCCACCTTTAGAAATCAGAATTGTTGTGAACCACAGCGGTTCAATGTTTAAAGGAGTAGACCCAACCCACTTTATTCAGCTAGCTAACTATGACACCATAGCTAACTAGCGTGCTAGCATCCAATAACACACAGTTTAGCACCAACACTTGGTCACAACAAACCACCAATAGTGTGTTAACACACTAAGCAGATAATTCGTGTCCGTGTCTAGTTCCTTTCATAACGCAGCAATAATTAAACGTTGGCTAGCTTAGCACAAATATATTGTATCTTGCTTGTTTGTAGGTGACCAAATACTTATTTTCCACCATAATTTGCAAATAAATTCATAACAAATCCTACAATGTGATTTTCTGGATTTTTTTTCCTCATTTTGTCTGTCATAGTTGACGTGTACCTATGATGAACATTACAGGCCTCTCATCTTTTTAAGTGGGAGAACTTGCACAATTGGTGGCTGACTAAATACTTTTTTCCCCCACTGTAAGTGCTTGCTTTTTGCTTATAGTCCACATGCATTCCTGCAGGTGTCACATAGGCTACATATACTAGGCTAATACATAGGGCCTAGCCTATGTATTCTCACTGAACTGTGAGTCGATAAAAGTGTCTGCTAAGCGCCATATTATATTACATAGACAATGCGTTGGATCATACAATCCATGGAAGCAAGAGAGAAGGACTGTGATAGCGTGATGTTCAGTACACTATCCCAGATGTTCCCTTCCAGGGGTACTAGAACCACAGGGGGTAGTTGGCCTATCCACAGGGGGTAGTTGAGAAGACTCATGAGACCATAGGCCTACTGGTAACATGAGGGGGTACTTCAGGGGTACTCCGGACAGAGCAAAATTGAGTTGGTGGTACAGTAACCAAAAAAGGTTGGGAACCACTGCACTATCATGTGAATTAGTCACCCCTAGAGGGCACTAGTTGTTATAACCTCAGTACACAGGATGTGTTTGGGTGTGTGTTTGTTTTGCTATGAAAATGTAGCATAGCCCTTATCTCCAGAGTGGGTTAAAATGTTTTAAAATCAGAGATATGACTTCATATGTATGCCTTTGAACAAAATCAACATAGATAGGCCTAGTATTTGGCAGCTAGACTTATAATAATAATAATAATAATAATAATAATAATATGCCATTTAGCAGACGCTTTTATCCAAAGCGACTTACAGTCATGTGTGCATACATTTTTACGTATGGGTGGTCCCGGGGATCGAACCCACTACCCTGGCGTTACAAGCGCCATGCTCTAATAATCTACTTATAAAACATCACTCCGCTTTTCTTCACTACACGGCTGAACAGTTGGGAAAATATAATCTATAACATGTATTCGAACTTTGAGATTTATTTAAATGTTTTAATTGTATTCATAATGTTTATTATTTACCATATTTATAAAATTATATGAGTATAGAAACGTACTAGAGTGGTAGTGAAGTTGTCAGTGAATCAGGGGTCTTTCTGTACGTATCTCCTCACCCTAGTCTATTCATGTGCCAGTGGAGAATTCAGTGGCCTTGGCTTCTGAATGTGACCTTCTCCATAGCATTCATCACACTGGCCTTTGAAGTGTGAACACACACTCAGCGCTCCAGGAGACAAAACTCCCTTCAGAACAACACGCCCTAAAAGGTTGACTGTCGCGTAACTGTTTTGTCAAAGGTCCTGTAGCTTCTGGACTGGAAGAATGTAGAGGGGGCTTCTGAAAGTTACATGGTGTGGTATGTTTACAAAGTCAAACATCCGCCCCGATGGTCCTGACTTCTGGGAATAATCATGACGGGGTCATCTGTGCACTGAGCTTCACACACACTCAGTCCAGCCCGCCTGTATCTTACACACATCGACACACACACACACACACACCGACACACACACACACAGTCCAGTAGACTTGTATCATCCTGTATCTAATCCTGCCTGGAGGGGGAGCCTGCTCTCCTTAATGAAAACCACCCTGTCTTTCTGTGTGTGTGGTCCTCCCTCCCACTCACATCACATTTTTTACATTTACATTTTAGTCATTTAGCAGACGCTCTTATCCAGAGCGACTTACAGTTAGTGAGTGCATACATTATTTTTTTATACCCCCGTGGGAATCGAACCCACAACCCTGGCGTTTCAAACCCACATGCTCTACCAACTGAGCTACATCCCTGCCGGCCATTCCCTCCCCTACCCTGGACGACGCTGGGCCAATTGTGCGCCGCCCCACAACATCTTCTCTGGTCAATGTAGCCTATCCAGTTCCATGCGAACCAGAAACAGTTTTATTTGCAGACTTATAGGCCTAACTGTTTTTCTACAAGATATGGAAGTTAACTATTCTTGGGAGTATTCTTGTAGATTCTTACTGTAGCTGTGCTAGGTTAAATCTACTCCTAAACACCTAGGCCTACTCCTACATGCAGACTATCCTAACTCCTACTCCTAAACATGTTAGTTGTTCCCTGTTTTCATTTATCCTGTTTTCACCATTTCCTCCATCCATTCCTCCCCATCCTCCTCTCCCTGTGGAATCTTGGCGACACCTCAGGTGTTACATAAAACCGTAGGTTACTGTTAAGTAAGAGGAGCCGAGTCTCTAGTCTCTCACTGTACATCACTGGGGACCTAGACTCATCTACCGGCAGGCTGGCGGGGGTACCTGGGGGAGCGGGGTTGTAGCCTGGGGGGGTAGTCTGCACTTGTCCTCCCACCCTCTCTCTCTCTCTCCCTCTACCATCCAGTAAGAGGAGGGCCCATCAGGACAGCAGCTCTCTGTTGATTCATCCTTTGGCTCCCCTCGTATTCTACCAACGCCCAGACACTTTTTATTCTCCCTTCTGCTCTGTCGTTCACCGTAGAGACCTGTCCCTGCTAAAGACATTACATTCCCCTTGGCAAGGAGCTTCTCTGAAGGACTTTATTCTGATCTCAGGCCATGACCAAACATTATTACCGGGTATTATTTCTCCCTTCCTCCTCCTGTCCGTATTAGTCATTTCAGTTTATTGACAGGTTTTGATTGGTGCGTGCCATCATCCACTGATGCAGTTTTCCTTTGGATAGTTGGTAATATGTCTTATCTGGCTTTCGTCTGACCATCTGACTTGAATGAATCTACGACACAATTCTCTCAGACCGCTACATGAAAAAAAAAAAAGTTGGTCTGTGTTCTGACTCCATTTTGACTGGCTCGGCTCGGCAGCCCCTGTGACAAACTGGTGTGATTATCCGGCTGTCTGCTGCATGTGTAATGCATTTAGCTAGGCTGGCCTGGCCCATTATGTAATGCAGCCTGCATGGTTAATGGCTTGTCCAGGCTGGAGCAGAGCAGTGCTGGGAAAGCATTCAGCATTAAACCATCAGAGTCACCAGAATGCAGCTGATTGGTCTGTGGAGCTATAGCACTATACTACATCAAATCAAATCCAATTTTGTTTGTCACAAACATGTGTTTAGCAGATGTTATAGCGGGTGTAGCGAAATGCTTGTGAGATAGAGACACGTAGGCGACTGTGTTCACATACACACACACACAGGGTCAAACAGCACACACAGGTCACCAGATGAGTTAATTAAACAGTAGGGTCACGTGTTTCACTGCTTTGTGTTGTCGTGTATTTTACTGCAGCCCTTTCAATTTCCTGTGTATAGCTAGATTCCCATCTATTATTCAAACATCTGCATAAAAACAATATGTACATTTTCCCACCAGAGATGTGTTTCCATCACATTGATTTGTTGCGGATAAAAAGCTGTGCGTGTTGACGTAGGGCATATCAAAATTACTTTTGCGGTTAAATTCCTATGTTCCGATACAAGTAAATGGGTTTCCATCGCATTTTCAACTCTACTGATGGTTTTGTCACAAAAAAATGTTGCGGTTGTTAAGCAAATGAGGTCTTTGCACGTGCCCTCTAGCCGACAGCTGTCAGATACAGTGCAGGTAGGCTACCTACATTATGAGATTATTATGGACAAAAAAGCGAGATTATTTGTCAAACAGCAGCCAAGCATCGATCATCATGTCACCATCAAGCTCATCACCGTGCACTTTTACCACCCTGGGAAGTTCATCATAACTTATTTCACCTGTAGCCTAATAAACGGCATGCTTTCCCGAGTCGTAGTGGGACACAAAGTTTACTTCAATATAATGGTTATATCAATATTTGCGCGTAAAGGCGTTTCCACCGCCATTTCTCACGTAATACATTTTACAGAGACAAGATCCCAAGCATTTTGCTTGGCGGACATTTGGAAAGTTTACCGTCAGGCCTGTCGTGACATTTTAATCCGAGGTACTTTACTCGCATAAATAGGTTGGATGGAAACTTGGCTTTATGATGCTATTTTTACACGGTGATTTCATTTTATTCTATTTCTTTAGTGTTTGCCAAAAGGAACAAACATTTGGAGGAGTTTGCAAGTAATCACCGGTTGAGGAGCGATTACTGTTTTATGACATGTTCTTTTATTTTTCTCTGAAGGTACCCACCGTTTTTTGATGACAATCCTTTTGGTATTTATCAGAAGATCCTCGCCGGAAAGCTGGAATTCCCGCGGCATCTGGATTTCTATGTAAAGTAAGTCAGTACACACACACACACACCCAAGCACAGAGGATTGTGGGTGAGAAATGGAGGCAAAGTACCCAAGGTCTACCACTACCTCGACACAAATGCATTCCACTATGATACATTATCGACGATAAGCCATCTTATATAATTTCAAGTTGTGAGGAGTCATCTGAATTTATGGAAGTTGATTTTCACATCACATTTCAATCAGACTTTTAGATTTAGGGTCTTGGTATGCAGGAAACAAAATGTTCCTTCTCCAGACGGTTATTGGAAACACAACCGTATCCACCACCACACTCTCTCTACCCATAACAAACATGGTGTGTTTTGGAAATGCATTACCAATACTCATGATAAGGACCTGACAATTGGAATTTGGCAGGACTGCATTATGAATACCTTTTTAGTTGTGTATGTGCATCTGGGAATGTACCAAATCCAATATTTAACTTATCTCTTCAGTGCATGCTTGCGTGGATGTGTGTGTGACCGTATGTGTGGATGAACGTGTGTGCCTGCCTGCACACGCAGACAACGATCTACGTGTGTGTGCTAACGGCTACGTCACACAGCGCAACCATCCTCCCAAACGACAGGGTCAATCAGCCTCCCATGCAGAAGATAAAGAGCTAGCTACACTGAATGTGGGGTGTGGGGCCTCACTAATGACACACCCTGCTGAGTTGCAACTCGTCCTTTAAACCCATCACAACCATCACGCTGCTCCTCAGAACAGCTGGGGGCTGGAGTAATGTTAGGAGATTACCGGCTTTAGAAGGAGAGGAGGGCCTGGGACGTACTCAATCAGCCCTGACACACTGGCCCAGCCGGAGACCTGGGAGAGGCCACAAACACACACGGTGTTACCAAACACACACACACACACACACACAGTGTTGCCTAACGCACACACGCACACAGTCCCGCTGCTACATAACACACTGACAATAGAGCCCCAAACACTTAAACAATCTATCTTTTGGCCACCAGACAGACAGTAGGGTTTTATTTTTTTAATATTCCCTCCAGCTATATCACTGTCACTTTGACCCTCTCCCATCCATCAGGGCTGATGGGTAGAACCTGAGGCAGAGGTGTCTGTCTGTCCATTGCACTAACTATTTTCTATCGCATAGAAGATAAGATGTGTTACAGTATTACTAAACAGGTATTAGACCTACTTATTGTAAGGTGTTATATGCCATTCAAAATATACTGTATTTAGTATCCAGAGTATAGCCTAATTCCACTGTGCCAGGTTTTCTGCATAGAAAATTATTTTTTCAGGCCGCCTTAGTCCAAACCGATAGATAGATATAAAATAATTTTCAGGATGGTAAAAATGTTTTCAGTGCTCTATTGATTTTGTTATAATGTTTGAGTCACTCAGATAGCATAAGAACACACATAAGCCATGGCAAAATGTGTAGATTTGCAGGAAATTTGCTTTAAAACTGAAACAATATTCTCTCCGCCCATGGTATAAAGTGTAGAATTCCTCAAAAATGTTGGTCGGTGACCGCATCATTTGCCACGCCCACTGCCACGCCCCTGCCATTCCCACCACCAAAGCTCCATTTTGATCCAGACAAAGCCCTGCTGTGTGGTATGTTTCCATAGAAATGTACAGTGACATTGTTTATTGCTTACATATTCCGTAAGATATAATTCTCTCAGATTGGGCAATCAGTTGGGGTTAAGGAAAGTCAGGCTTTATGACCATATTTGTATTTAACCAGGAAATGACTGTTGATGTTAGAAATGTATTTTGTGAGGGAGACCTAGCAAGAGGTCAGCAGGAAGTAGTCAGTGTGTACACACACAATACAATACATTGGAACAATTCAGTCACATTTTCTTTGATCAGAGCTTTAAACTCAGACACTCTCCTCTAGTTTTAAAGTATTTTGTAGTCGTTTCAGGACCAAGGAGTATTATAGGAGAAGGATTGTTTCCCCATTTCAGTCCTTGCCCTAGCAACTGTAAAAGAGAGCACTGAATGAGAGCGGAGGCTGTTGGATTGTGAAGTTGTTAGTTGGGAGGGTTTAAAAAGATAAAATGCACACTGTCAATATTCTGCTAGGATATTTACGTCTGTGCTGGCAGCTCGTTGGTTGTGAGATACGGCAGCTTTATTGAAAGCTCGCTCTGTCAGCGCCGGTCGCATATCATCGGAAAACGTACACTGTCATTTTAAAGGCATTGTGAATCATCCCAAATTCATCCCTAAAGTATACCTACGCCAACATCTTTATAGTTGTGAAAAGTTGAACTTTAAAATCTGTCACTTTCCCTCAATTAAAAGACGGAGAGAGAGAGCAATAGAGAGAGATGTTTCTGTCAGGATGCACCTCACACACACACACACACACACACACACACACACACACACACAGGATGTATGTCTCTGTTACCCCATGGCACCTTTATGAGTCCGTCGGGTTATCTGTTGTTCCAATGGCCAAGCTCATCCATCTTGTTGTCAGCTTTTGGACGGAGACGGACCTCTTGGCTTCTGACTGAAGCTGCAGAGTCTGGAGATAGATTGTTAGTGTGAACTCATTGTGTATGACTCTCCCTGACTGTCTTTCTATTGTTTTCCAGAGATCTCATCAAGAAATTCCTCGTCATTGACCGAGCCAGGAGGTTAGGCAATATGAAGGTGAGTTTCAAGATCAAAGCATTATTGAGATTCAGATTCAGAAAGCTTTATTGTCCCAAGCTGTACAAAAACATTACACAAGAACAGATACACAGTACAAATTAAACTGATTTAAAGTGTTTTGTTGACTCGGCAGGATGTGGAGGGAGTCTTTTGCAGTTTGAAGTCACAGTCTGAACACAGACAGGAGAGGAAAGGGAGTGACTGAATGTCTGCATTTGGTTCCAATTAGCTGGATACATAGAGGAAGTTGTTGTAGAGGTAGTTTGCACCCTTAAAGGGGTGGGAGAGGGCGGCAGGGGTTTAGGGTGGATCACAGGAAAACAGATTTCCCCTTCCTCTGCACTGTCAGTTGAGTAGTTAATCACATGGAAGATCCAGGGTACCGGGTTAATTACTTAGTCCTGCCATTTCAACAAATATATATATAGTATCTTGCTGAAAAGATGTCCCATTTGGTAGCCAGGATGTCCACTGTAGTAGTAGGAGTGAAGCCAGTATGCACAAGCCATCTGCACAGGAAATGTATAGAATGCGACAGAGAAGCTGTGTTTGCACAGTGAGCACTGGAGCCTCCCTCCACAATGAACATGGTCTCTTGGTAACACCATATTCCCTTTATAGTGCACTACGTTTGAACAGGGCCCATAGGACTCTGGTCAAAAGTAGTGCACTATGTAGGGAATAGGGTGCCATTTGGGACGCGGTGTCACTCAGTAGAGAGATCTGTAATTCCTCTTGAGTAAATTAATGCATTTTTACACCCCTGTGATGAATTTGCTCTCAGTTATAACAGGAGGGATTTTCTTTTTAAACTGCACAATTCTTCACATTCGACTAGACTCTTGTATTAAATGGGTAAAACATGTGAGAGATCCAAAGTAGGTGCTATGCACATCTTAAGTCTCATGGCGCACTGATTATTCCTACTTTGCTTTCCACCGTTGTGTGCTTTATGTATGTATGCCTCAGGAACACAGCAGGCCTGGTTTTTACTCATCTACCAAATATGGAAAGACCGAGTGAAAGAAAAAAAACAAGTGTTTATCAGTTTTAGACTTCTAGTCCCTATAGTCTACCGCCATGTAATGATTCATTAATTGGAATCATATATGTATCTGGCACTGATGTTCAATCAAAGGATGATATCTGAGTGTTTTGAATTACGCTATTCAAAGGCATAAGAGTCAATGTGGGATTATATGAAGGCTCTTTTCAATATAACAACTGTTGGTAAGCACAATGATTAAATCAACAATTCACCACACAGTCTGTTATTGACTTGTGCCTCAAAGGGTTTTCTGAAGAAAATGTGCTAGTTAGCTGACTAGCTAGCTGACTCATGGAGTGGTCTAGCTACACACTCGCAGTATACAGTGTGAATCACCACAGACACCACAAAGTGTTTAGAAAGAATGAAGTGTTTTGCTCTAATGATTATTATTTCAAACCATTTATTCCAGACGAGAAGAACGTTATTCATCTTGATTCCAGATTGTATTGAATAGACCGTCCACAGACAGCTCTGATGCACAATGTCTTCTCTTGCAGAACGGGGCTGACGATGTGAAAAAGCACAGATGGTTCAAGTCTATAGACTGGGATGGTGTTCCTCTGAGAAAACTGAAGGTCTGTCACGTTGTCTTTATTACACACACAAACATCTAGACACATCAATAGGAACACACGTAAACGTACACTTTATTTTCAGTACAAAATGTTTTCATTAAGCTCACCATTTTAGAGTTGATATACTTTTAGCTCTTTGATGTATTCAGCGTCACATTATTTTGTTCCCTCAGCCACCCATAGTTCCCAAGGTGTCCCACGAAGGTGACACGTCTAACTTTGATGCCTACCCCGAGGACGAGTGGAAGAAAGACGCACCTGTGCCTGCAAAGGATTTAGAAATCTTCAAGAACTTCTAGAAAGGCGGAAGCAACGACAGATATACTTCAAAATACATATAGGTCTTGGAGAAGTAGAGAAGACTTCAAGAAGTTTTAGATCTTGGAGAAGGTGAGTGAAACTTCTAGATGTTGGAAAAATATAGAAAGACTTCTGGATCTTGCTGAATAACAGAAAGACTGGTAAATCATCTGAGATGTCACCATTGTATGGTCAGCAAGAGAACTTCCAAGCTTCCAAGTCCCAGAACTTTATCTTGCTTGAAGACATTGAAGTGTTCCAAATTGGGTGGAAGAGAACTCAAAGCATCATCATATCGCCACAATATTTATCTATCATTCATTTCCTTTTTTCACTCAACTAAAACCTCGATCCTCAGTCTATTTATTTTTTACGTTATGCAAAAAAGAAAATGATGGTCCTCTTTGAACCAAAGGACATTGTTACTGAAATTAATATGTTTAAAATGCAATAATCAGGAATTTTATATTTTGTTGGGCCAAAAAGGTTCCAGTTTTCTTTGTTGGAACTTTTGGGACTCAACCAACCGAGCAAAGCTTATGATCCAAAAATTATTACGCATACAGTAGACTCAGTATTGAGCTGTACAATAAATGGAATTTAGGTATGTGATTAGTATATCTTTACTTAGTAGTTTGTACTGGATATTTGTCAATGAGAAAGGATGAAACATGTACAGGAACGTACTACAATATCATGCCAAGCAAGCTTTGTAATATAATTTTATTGACTGGCCGCTAGTCAAATAGGCTGTTAAACTTGTCATTTTGAGCTGTAAGTACTTGGCTATCTATCGGCCAGACATCAGTGCATGTGTGCATCAAGGCCAGACCAGAAAGCACTTGTAAAAGGTGCCTTACTTACTTCAGGAGGTTGGATATGACATACTGTATGTCTTCTTCTTTGCTCCTGACAAGCTATTTGACTTGAAGTCAGTGGTACTTTTTCAACTTTATTTATATAACACACACTGTTTATACTTGAGCTGTGCTGTTGAAAACGTTGACTGTTAATAATAATATACGTGGAATAAGTGTTGTGTGGACGAAGTGTAGCTAGCTACTATATGTGGACTCAGTTTCCTCCCATCTTTTTCTTCCATCCTCTTTGTTCTATTTTGCTGTTCACACAATAACTAAAAATGTCCCTGTATATTAACTGGTATGTCTATCTTTCTCTATGTCTCTTTCACGTACTATAAAGAACTGTAGAATAGAGATCTCCAGCTGGTTTCATGTATAGCCACGCAGGTAGTAGTCTCAGCAGGACACTTGGCCATCTGCTTCAGGCAGCCAATAAACTCTTATCTTCTCTCCACCAATCATATCACTGGCCAGTAGAAGGCACATCATGACTAGACACATCATGGTCCAATCACAATCTCTCGAAAATGGACTTAGTAACTCTCAATTATTTCTGGCCCTTCAGTCAACTTAAATTATTTGAATTGAACATTTGATTGCTTGTATGTAATGTTTTATGTAATTTTCTTAATAACCAATTATGGAACAAAACTCAGTGTGAGTTTATTCGGTCTGTTTAGTGTAATTAGGACTTTTGGACAACGCATGTATTGTTTTTTACGTCTTGTTTTTTTTCAGTGTGAAGTGTGTCTCTAGGGCATTTGTTTTACAATCCACAGCCTTTTGCCTTTTTTTAAGATGATGTTTTTGTTTATGTATTAGCAAAAAGAAAACAAATAGGAAAGAAGGAATACTGTACTTTTAGGTCAATACAAGCGTATGATATTTTATACCCAATACCATTTTGCCAATGCCTTTTGTCAAAGTGTATAGATTGTTTTATTATTATTTAATAGCCTACCTTACAAACTTTGTATGGCCTTTCACGTTGTTGATGTTGCAGTACTGTATTTAACTTCTTGAGATACTGTTTAAAAGATCCACACAACCTGGATTAAAAACACCACCTATCCACTGACTCAACAACTGATTCTCTTTCCTCTCAGAAGTGTGGTTATAATATACTGTAATGTGTTAATAGTGTGTTAACAATTTGGTAATTGCTATACTTTGCTTTCTGATAGGCTAGGTGGAATTCTTCATATTGCTTACATCTATGTAATTGTTTCAGATATACCAGAGTACTTGGGGTGGTAGGAGCCAGGGTTACATTTGAAATTCAGCATAGGATGTGATTTTCTAGTTCCACATTGGTTTTGTATGTACTGTAGGTGACATGTAAGTGATGTGACTGATGGCTGTCTGGTTGGCCAAATGCTATTAGAGTATCAACACCTTTAATCTTCTCTGATTCAATAACTCTTATCTGGCCTTAGAAGTATTAGCGACTCCTATTTCAAGTCATAAGACAAATTAACTTTCCGAGTGTTTCCGTCGGTTGATAATTTGTCTTCAAGTTCACCGGCCTAGTCTGTATCTACCCAACATTGTAATTGAGTTGCATGAACAGTTTAAACTGCACAGCAGTCATCAATTCTGGAGCTTTATTATCCCCTCAAAGGATCTCATTCATCCAAATGAATCTAAACGTTATAATTTGGTCATATGAACGAACTAGAGGCACCAATGTACCATTAAAGGTGCCCTATTTCAAGAAAGTCATTAGTGTTTACAGTGGAAAGTGACTCGTGTTGTCTGGACCTCCTTGTGTTGCATGCTGGGTGATGACATCCAAGACCGCTCCAGAGACTCACAGCAGAGTGGAGCAGTCCTGGGTAATAACTGACTATTCCCTATATAGTGCACTACTTTTGACCAGGGCCCATAGGCCTTGGGTCAAGAGTAGGACACTATATAGAGAATAAGGTGCCATTTGAGACAGACACTCTTTCCCTGACATCCCAGGAAAGCTGTGTGTGTGTTCCTCTGGGAATATCACATCTTCCACCCGCTGCACAGTGCAGCTCATGTCCTGTTAGTTACTGTAATGGGCGTGTGAAGTCATTTGTACATCTGTGTTTACCATTTATGTTTCTGTGTTGTTCAGCAGATGCTAACGGTGACTCATGTTTAACACATTGGGGGTTGGAGACTGGGGAGACGGGATCCAGTCCACCACCATGTATCACAATGACTCAACCATATCACAGTCTTACCATAGACACCCATTAGGCATTGAAGGAAATTAACTCTCTCTGAATCATTCCTCATTACGAATGATTGCGAATACGTTTATTTAATTAAACCCTTAAAAAAAGGATTATGTTCAGAAAATTGAAATTCAAGCCTTAGGAGACTAAGTGCTGTGTGGTACCTGTGCTCTGTCATTGACACAATGCTAGAGACCTAACAACACGCTTTAGTGTTAACCCCTCAACTCCAGTCGGTCGTAAACAGGAGCCCCGCTTGGACACCTGACCACCAATTATAAGACTAGAGTCTCTCCTTAGAGCATCCCCCACGCACCCCTTAATGACAAGCAGAGGTCCTTTCTGAGGCACTTTAAACGTTGTTACGTCAGATTGTCAACAGCACCTGTCATCAGTTTAGCGTTGCCTTGTGCCACTGCCTTGTCGAGAGGTGCTAACAAGTACATGTACCCTCCTCAACGCTATACTTGACTTAACCACTGAATGAACGCATCAAGAAGACTAGGTGACAGTCAGCCACTGACGAGTTTTGACTTCAGTGTCTTGTGTCTCTCTGGTGATGGCAGCCTATAGCGGTGCGCTCACTATGACTTAGCCGGCAGTTCAGGATGGCTGCTAGGCCTGCTGTTGGTGGATGAATGCAGTTAGCCAGTTGTGAAAGAATACCTGAGACGGAGGACTGAGCTAGCAAATGACCTTAATTACAGGGGTCTTTTAGTGGGAGCACGGAGCAGGAACCACTTTAATTTGAGAGGTAGCGTATGTCTGTGCCGCTGGGCCAATAGCCAAGGGGTGAATGGCCTAAGAGGATGGGAAAGGTCTGAATTTGAATTCCATTACATATGTTCCCTACAAGGATTCATCACCCAGCTAGTATCACTATTCAGAGGTTGGTGGATTACATTTTTTTTAAATATGCACTGCTCAAAAAAATAAAGGGAACACTTAAACAACACAATGTAACTCCAAGTCAATCACACTTCTGTGAAATCAAACTGTCCACTTAGGAAGCAACACTGATTGACAATACATTTCACATGCTGTTGTGCAAATGGAATAGACAACAGGTGGAAATTATAGGCAATTAGCAAGACACTCCCAATAAAGGACTGGTTTTGCATGTGGTGACCACAGACCACTTCTCAGTTCCTATGCTTCCTGGCTGATGTTTTGGTCACTTTTGAATGCTGGCGGTGCTTTCACTCTAGTGGTAGCATGAGACGGAGTCTACAACCCACACAAGTGGCTCAGGTAGTGCAGCTCATCCAGGATGGCACATCAATGCGAGCTGTGGCAAGAAGGTTTGCTGTGTCTGTCAGCGTGGTGTCCAGAGCATGGAGGCGCTACCAGGAGACAGGCCAGTACATCAGGAGACGTGGAGGAGGCCGTAGGAGGGCAACAACCCAGCAGCAGGACTGCTACCTCCGCCTTTGTGCAAGGAGGAGCAGGAGGAGCACTGCTAGAGCCCTGCAAAATGACCTCCAGCAGGCCACAAATGTGCATGTGTCTGCTCAAACGGTCAGAAACAGACTCCATGAGGGTGGTATGAGGGCCCGACATCCACAAGTGGGGGTTGTGCTTACAGCCCAACACCATGCAGGATGTTTGGCATTTGCCAGAGAACACCAAGATTGGCAAATTCGCCACTGGCGCCCTGTGCTCTTCACAGATGAAAGCAGGTTCACACTGAGCACGTGACAGACGTGACAGAGTCTGGAGACGCCATGGAGAACGTTCTGCTGCCTGCAACATCCTCCAGCATGACCGGTTTGGCGGTGGGTCAGTCATGGTGTGGGGTGGCATTTCTTTGGGGGGCCGCACAGCCCTCCATGTGCTCGCCAGAGGTAGCCTGACTGCCATTAGGTACCGAGATGAGATCCTCAGACCCCTTGTGAGACCATATGCTGGTGTGGTTGGCCCTGGGTT